ACAAGGGAAGAAACCACACTGGGAAGCCCATGCACCATAAATAGAGAGAACAATCCCACTCACTGCAACTAGAGAAAGTCTGTGCACAGTAATGAAGACCCAGTGCCGCCCACAGTAATTAAGAGATTTAAAAAAATGCACTGTACTGATCCACTACTTACAAGTATTCACTCAAGTTATGCCTAGAATAAGCTTTAGGATAAAAATATAATGATTCTCAAAGGCTTTAATAAATTTAGAGTATCTAATTAAATAAATAAATAATTGGGGGGAAAGACAGATTCTACCCTCTCACCTCTTATGCTCTCATACATTTTCTGTCCCACCTGGTTGATTTCTTTACCCAATTACCAATACATGTTCAACCACTCTTTGACTATTTCTCATTTATTAAACCACTCTCTATAGTAATACGTACTTCATTTATCCAACGTGATTAACAACCAGCTCTTCCTAAGAGAGTTTTCAGGATAAAGACAATTTATTCTTAAAAGATCAATGTTTGCAAAAATAGATTATTCACATCTCTACTATTTTTTAAAGAAAACATCTGTTTCCTGAGGTAATTTAGGTCCAATTATTTTACTCTGGGACTACAAAAAATGTATTATAGGGATATTTGGATTCACGTTAAGTGGCCTTGGGCAGCTGCACATTTAGAATCCCTCTGTTAATGACTTAGAGCTTGTACAGCCGACCTTGTCCTTGCATTTGTTTTGCATGCTGCCACTTCTTAATGGAGCTCTGACTTCTTGAAGCAATAACCACCCTCTTTTTAACTGCTGCTAGAGTTGACTGTGGTTTGGGAAATCAGGCATCTATGTTTGTTAGAACTTTTTTTTTTTTTTAAGTGGACTGTTTGTGAATGGAGAACTGAAGAACAAACGAGGCAGGGAGAGAGAATTAGATGATTGTGACAGTCTGGACCTAAGCTGGCTTACTTTCAGGTTCTGGGTTGTGTTTTTGACAGCTAAGATTGCTACACAAAAGACCTCCAGTTGAGTGATTTTCTGTCTATTCATATGCTAACTTCTCAAGTGTATTCAATTCACAGGCAGCTGTTTTTTGGACACACATGAGTCTGTTTACAGTTCAAGCGATACATGTCTATGTGTGTAGAAAAAAATCATTAAAACAACCTGGTCGCCAGAAGACAAAGAAAAGTTTACTTCACCAACACAAGTATGTTTCTACTCATGTGTGTCCACTGATTTATGTAGAAAATTATTCAAACAACAACGGTCACTAAAAGAAAATGAGAAGCCCACTTCACAAAATACAGAAACTGAAACCATGACAATCTGTTAAAAGACTCACTTTTAATGGTCGAGTCTATATTTATTCATATAGATTATCTATGTTTAGGAAGTATTGAATTTTGCAGATGTAAAAACCACTACAGACCTAAACAGAATTGTGAACCTTTTCCTTTCCAAGTATGCTCATATTTTATAGTAGCATTTTACGATAGCAAATTATAAACATCTGTGTTTAGCTGATAAACCTAGACTTCCCCCAACACGTAACTCTGATAATATGTAACAAGAAAGAAAAGAAGGCAATAGGAAAGGGGGAGACATCTTATATATGCATGGCAATTTTTTCTTCAGGTCAGAGACAAAAAGCATATGTGAATCTGCATAGCTTTAATAACAACGTTCTCATGATAACCTATTCCACTTATCCTTGACTTATCCAAAGGAAAAATGCAACTCCAGGCTGGCTGTCCTTGGCCTGGGAGACCTTTGGTCCTATAAACTTGTGGTTAGCTGTGATGTGGTTTCAGAAATTCCAAGCTCTGTTTATTATGTGTTTATTAAAACAACAGAGGAAAGAATATAATGTATAAAACACAATCGGATTACCTGCAGCTACTGGATTTCCTTTACCAATGTTCCCTTTTAACTAGGAGAGAGAAATGAGACTTAGGGTTTGGTCAAGCCTTTCTGTGTACGTTTATGAGAATTCCTAAAAACAGTTTTTAAAAAAGATGAACACAGGACTAGAGATAACAATCCAAAGCGAAATTCTTTCAGGCTCCAGCAAAATTTGACTTAGAGTATAAAAAAAAAACAAATCGAGTATTTTCCTCAAGACTCATTCTGAGTGCTCATTTTGCCCTAAGCTCTATTTGCTTTTTGCAACAGCACTTAGAGAAAACCAACTGACCATTTACAACCTAAACAATGGCTTTCAAGTCTGATTAAGAAACGCACCTGGCTTCACTCAAATAACAAATTTGTTTAACCTGGTGACTTTCCTGTGTCTGGGGTCAGGCAGGCGCAGTCTCAGTTTGGTGGAGAAAAGGAGAGCAAACATAAGTGACTCACTGAGAACAAAATGGTGGGACTGACTCCCCTTTGTCATTACAACTCTTTTTAACAGTTTCTTGGAGGCAAGACTATCATTTAAGTGACCCACTATAATTTGGGATGAACCCCCAGAAAATGATGCCAACTTTAGAACAGGATTTGCATTTCTGAGTTTACTCAGCCTGATGAACCTTCTGAAATGCTAAGTATTCCTTCTTTGGTACAAATTTACATCAGGGGAAAAATGAACAATTAAAAAAATTTAGCTAGAGAAGAACAGAATACCATAACACTCCTAGGAATAGACCATAGTGGGTTTTTTTTTTTTTTTACTTTTGGCATCATTTTTATTATGGAAAATTTCAATCATATAAAAAAAATACACAGACTAGAAGGATGAACTCCCACAAACCAATAATTTAGTTTTGATAATCATCAACACAAGGCCAACCTTATTTTTACTGTGCCCTACCCACGTTCCCCTTTTAATTCTTTTTTAAAGCAAATCCCAGACAGCCTATATTTTATTTTATATAAGCTTTCATTTACAGCATATGTATATATTTAACCTGAAAGATCTCTCCAGAAAGCTCACTGAGCATGAGATGTTTAAATCAATTTTAACCACATCTTACAAAACATTTTACACTAAAATCTATCTGTCTAGAAAACTAATTTGAATATAATTGGGTAATTAAAAAGACAAGGTAACTCAAATCACAATCTTCTATTACTTTATTTATGGAGAAAAAAGGAACATTCTAACATTGAGAAAACAGTGCACCTCACTCAATGCCCATGATTCAAGAGACATGGTTAAAACTAAAATGGTTAAACTTGCCTGGAAGGAGTTTAGAAAAACATGAGGAAGTGAGTAAGGGGAAAGAGAAATTTTCCTAGAAAATTTCCCCCTTTTTACTGCACATATAGAATAAAACAGAATGCCATCAGGCTAAACCTTGGGTGCTTCAAAAATCACTCATCAAGCCTTCCAGCTACTTAACAGTAATTTAGGACTGACCTTAAAGCAAAGATCAAAGGGAACTCCATCTAGCATTTATGTTCAGTTCCTCACTGACTGATGACTAATTTGTAGAGGAATGAAGTCTTCACAGAGGAAGCCAAAATCATCTGAGGTGACTTTGATACAATGCCACAAAGGATATGAAGAGGAAGCCAGGAGAAGCTGTGAGTGGCTAAGCTCCATTAAGAGTTCTAATAAAAGAATAATGGAATTTCCCTTAACAGTGAATTCAAAAAATGTCAGAAGTGGGCAAAATTAGACAAGTCAGGCAAAACCTTTGATTTGTCACAGCCTATTGCTGCTGCTGCTGTTAAATATTAACTTCAGCCACTGTTGCATTTATGTTAATTAAATGACACTGTCTTAAAAAAAAAAAAAAGGCAACTTTCCCATCGGAAATCTGGCCAATCTCATTCCTCTGGCTGTTGTGTTACTTATCAGTCTGCACCTTCCGCCTGCATTATCAGACACTGCTGGCTTGCTCAAGTTCTTTCCAACAAATTGCTATTTTGCAGTGATCGATTTCACTTGAAAAATTTAACTTGAAATGATAAATGTTTAGTCTTGTACATCGCTGTGGTCACATGGAATACAAACATCTCTCTTGACAGATTTTTGATGCTTAAGTCAACTGGTCACTATAGAAAAACCAGGAGCTATTCAAATTCTTTCAACTTCTATGAACAACTGGCACATTTTTCCTCCCAAATCCAGACATCTCTGTATTCTCAAACGAAGAAAGTAGTTTTCACACTCCTTATTTTGGCTAGTTAAAAAATCCCTACCACATGTCTCTTTGTAAATTCACAGATAAAGATTTAAGTTTATATTAGCATTTCAACCATGCAAATGTTTTGTTTGCTTCTGAAATCACCTCAAATTAACAGATTTATCAGAACCTTACAAGATATAGAAGATTTGAACAAGTCTCAGGATATTTTCATATATTTCCCCATGAAGATGTGGTATTGCGCATTTTCTTTAAAAAGTTAGTGGACTTTTTTTTTTTAAGAATTTATGTTTTATAAATATATAGTGAAATATTTGTCAGTGAGAAGAGGCTTAAGAATTCTTCAAAGACAGGGAGTGGAGAGTGTGGGTATAAATGCAACAAGACTAGCTGTGGATCTTTGAAGTTACTGGATGGATGGAGGGCCAAGGTCATTAACTATGTGGTCTTCGGTACAGCAAAGCTCTTGGGAGTGAATATTTCAGTTATAATTCCAGGCACTGCTTTCTGTTAGAGGTTTTTTTTTTTTTTAAAGAAATATAACTTTCTGTCAGGACCAATGGTGAACTGAGAGTTGGCAGATAATATTTCAACTATCTTCATCAATTCAAAAGCCAAGTTCATTTACTACACTGTTTGGAAAGAAAAAACCCCACTAATCGAAAAACACCCCCAAATCTGTCTTTTCACAGTCTTTGAGGATTCAGTGACAATATGTAACCAGATTTTAATGTGAATACAGAAGAATATTTTTAGTTCAGAAATACAAATTTTCTCTCTTCTTTACAAGAGATAAAGAGTTAAAAATTAAAACTGAAATATAAATGTAATTGGTAGAAATGTACTTCAAAATCACTGTGTACTGGTGAACATTGTGCTCTATGTTCAGAAGGACTTATATTACCCAATTACACTAATAACATGCTTCTCTTACCTTGTGATCATATGGGTTGTACGAATGAAATATCCGAGAAAGCTCCTTTGTTCTTTGCTTTTTCTGTGGGAGAAAACACAAACCTTTGAGTTGACAGGTGGCAAAAATACACACACGTGTATATATCTAAATGTAGATCTCTAGCTCCGTCTATCTACTTTATGACATTATTTTGAGATTTTTCCTTTGTGCAGGCCGAGGACCTACACAGTTAATTTGGGATGAATGGATACAAGCAGAAACGAAGGCCACTTGGTCATGTGGATCACTGTCACAGACCAGCCAGGCAATCTCTTTCTGGAAAGTTTCATAATTACAACCCTACTTATTACAAATGCATAATTCAGACACTAAAATTAAAAAAGAAAAAAAACTATGAGAAGAAAGAAAATACATTTAGAACACTTTCAGATTCACAGCAACACCAACTTCTGTTACCCTGAGCTGGGCATGAGCGAGTCTTCCCTGGAGGCTCAGTGGTAAAAGAATCCACCTGCAATGCGGAAGCTGAAGGAGACAGAGGCTGGAGCCCTGGACTGAGAAGATCCCCTGGAGAAGAGAATAGCAACCCACTCCAGTATTCTTGCCTGGAGACTACCACAGACAGAGAAGCCTGGTGGGCTAGAGTCCACAGGGTCACAAAGAGTCGGACACAACTCAAGTGACAGCACGCATGCACGCATACATATATATGACTGCTATAGATATAATGGTGTCTCACACACAGTAGGCCCTCAATAAATATTTGCTGAACTAATGAATAAATGAATATACCTGAGATAAATAGGCATATACCAACTGTATCAGTAATGACAAGATGTGACTCTCATACACAGTTACGAGAAGAAAAGCCCCCTTCCCTTCTCATGATGTTTTCTTCATTACAAGAAGCGAGGCCTCTCCATCTCCTTACTCACAGCATCTGTGATAATGAAGGGTGCTGTTCTCTTAGGAGAGGTGGCTGTAAGAATCAGCTTGTTTACTTTTATTTAACTGATTGTTTTGTTTACTAATTGTTTAATCAGTGTGTTAATCCACTGTGATCTGTCTACCTTCCCATAACCACTGTGAGAAATTTTGTGGATGGTTCCAGACCTCCCGTGCATGTATCTTCACACACAACTGATAACTTTTACTTTCTAAGAAAAAGGATCATTCTGTATACATTCTTCTGAAATTTACTTTTTTCCCACTTCACTATTTATCCTTGCCAAACTTAAGTGCCTGTATATCCAGCACTGTGATCCCTTAAGAGTTCTAAAATCCAAAAACTCCTGAAATCTGAACTTTCTTCCTGCAATGCATTTCAATTTATAAATATAATGATAATCTTTGCACAAACATCTAGGCCAGCTTGAGAGTGTGTGTTTTTTAAAAGGATAAATTATGGAAGTCCAGTTGCAGGATCAAAGAGTAGGCATGTTTATTACCTTGATAGGAACAGCCAGGCAGACCCCTCCTCCAGAGAGTAGACCAACTTTCCCTCTCACCAAGAGTGAATGAGAAAAGGGATTATGGCTTAGGTTGGAAATTCTTAATTTCTCTTTGCCGTTTAAAGGTTAGAACATTGATAAATTTAGAGAAAAGATAAGACATTTTAAAAAACAGGTATTAAACACCATCCCAGCTGCTGATTATAGAATGCATTTCTTGTATTTAGATTTTGTGTATCACAGAGTCAGCCCACTTCAGTTCAGTTCAGTTCAGCTGCTCAGTCGTGTCCAACTCTGTGACCCCATGGACTACAGCACGCCAGGCTTCCTTGTCCATCACCAACTCCCAGAACTTGCTCAAACTCATGTCCATTGAGTCGGTTGATGCCATCCAACCATCTCATCTACCGCATTTTAAAATTCTGTCATGAGAGTGGCCAGTCTGTCCTTAAGACTGCCCCCCATCTGGCTTCTGGGTCTACTCTGCTGTTGTTGATCCTTGCCTAGTAGCCACATTTCCCAGGGAAGGATTTCCTTCCTTTAAACTCCAATCTCCTCCTGAGCACATACACTGCACCTCCCAAGGGTGAAATCCACGTAGATCTCCAGCATAGGTCCTGCATGACCTTTGGCATCTACTTGGTTGAAGAGTCAGAGCTAATATCAATGAGGCCCTTGTGTTAAGAGTCATTTGTACACACTCACGGGTTTCGTACAGGTTAGTTCTTTACTTTGGAACTGTCTTTGGAGCCCAATTCAAGTAAGCAGTCCTTCAAATCACTTGGCCTGTTTCCACATTCTGACACTCACTAGCAGACATCCCTCCCTGCAGCTCAGCCAAAATTCCCACTTCCCCTGTCCACCTCTGAGCCGTGTTGCTGACCACCTGGCTGCCCAGTAGCCTAATTCCAATTTCTCTGGAGAGCAGAGATGTATGTTTAACTGTATGGAAACAGTTTCATGGCTCTCCAAGCCCTGTTCTGAACAGGTCACCTGCCCGCCAGAGTTTTCATTAGCTTCTAATTTTCTCTTTCCTTTCCATACACCCACTTAGCTGGTTTAACAGTTTTTGGCTTATACTTCAATCAGAAGAGAAATGACGGATATTAACACTTCCTTTGGTAGGAGACAATATAAAACACTGGGGAAATTTTTTTTTTTTTTTCAGAAAGGAAATTATGGTAGAGAAGATAAAATAGGTGGTATATCAGTATTCAGCTTAGGAGGTGTCCCCAGGACTGATCAGTCCAAAAATGGTAGAGCTACCAGTGTGAGTCAGCAAGTGGATGAGAGATAGGCAGAGGTAGTTTGGTGTGGCCTTTTTATGTGGGTTTGGATTTTATATCTTTATTTTGATGCTAAAACCTAAATATACCTTCTATTATTTGGGCAAGAAAGTAGGGTATAAATAAATAGCAAATAACACTATTCAGATTAAACCCCAAAAGAAGACAGTGAAGAAAGAATGCCCTTTTGTCTGACAACAAATTTACTATATACAACTATAGTGAAGTCTTGGCTGTGACTATGGAAGGTTATATATTATTAGTCCAGTTAACTGAATACCACTGCTGTTTTCCCTGTGAGGTCAGAGTCATGTAGCCCAGAGCTGCATCTTCTGGGATCTAGAATAGGGTTTGACAAATGATGGCCCCTGGGTCAATTCAGCCTATTGTCTGTTTCTGCAAATAAAATTTTAATGAAACATAGTCACACTCACTTGCTTATGTATTACCTATGGCTGCCTTCACGTGATAACAGCAGAATTTGAGTGGTTACAACAGAGACTCTATAGTTCATAAATGCTGAAGTATTTATTCTCTGACCCTTTACAAAAAAAGTTACAGAAACAGCCATCTCTGATCTATTCATAGAATCTCTATCTTTGACCATGTCCACTTCTGGCAATAGTCCCATGACCCCAAACCAAATGAACAACTATTTGTCTAGCAAAATTCCTTGTTCCTTTTGCTCACTGAATGAAGACAGTTCAAGAATCAATCATAACCTATATCCTGACACATCAGGATGAACATATCAAGGAAAATATCAATTAGCTGTTTTTTCAGAATTTTGCCTTCTGAGCATTCTACATTCAGACAGAGAATGTTACAAGTTGTTTTTGAGAGCGTGCTGAAAAAGATACAGTGCTTTTGGAGCTTTCTGTACTCACATTATAACTGCCGGTGACAGAAACTTTGAGAAGAGACCCTTTACTAAGTTCTAGCACTGAAGTCAAGTAGAAGGTTTTGTGTACAAGTTACTAAAGTAAGCCAGTTGCTAATGAGTCAGTTTCTCACATGCAGACCATGTTAACAATATGAAGCTACAAGACCTGTTAAGCCTTGCTATCAGCAGTTTTAACTGAAACTAAAAGCTGAGCCAAAAATAGAATAATTAGGTATTTTCCTATTGCATCACAGTGTGTGTCTAAATTACCTCCCACTTTTTCGCCTGTTAAAACAAACATCTAAGTCATGCAACCACCTGTTAGTTCTCCAAGTGTTTAAAAAGTAAACATGTTAAACAAGTTGTGTGATGAACTTGGAGTGAGGGTGGCCAAAGTACAGTGAGTACGGCAAACACCTCCCTGAGAACTGTGTAAGGCGCCTTCAAGCCCACCTCATCACTAATCTCACGGTCCAGGCCACAGAGATGTGCGTGCACGCCCAGTCGTGTCCGACTCTTTGCGACCCCCCAGACTGTGGCCCACCAGGCTCCTCTGTCCGTGGGGTTCTGCGTGCGAGGGTACTGGAGTGGGTTGCCATCACAGAGATGTGCGTGCGCGCTCAGTCGTGTCCGACTCTTTGCGACCCCCCAGACTGTGACCCACCAGGCTCCTCTGTCCGTGGGGTTCTGCGTGCGAGGGTACTGGAGTGGGTTGCCATCACAGAGATGTGCGTGCACGCTCAGTCGTGTCCGACTCTTTGCGACCCCCCAGACTGTGACCCACCAGGCTCCTCTGTCCGTGGGGTTCTGCGTGCGAGGGTACTGGAGTGGGTTGCCATCACAGAGATGTGCGTGCACGCTCAGTCGTGTCCGACTCTTTGCGACCCCCCAGACTGTGGCCCACCGGGCTGCTCTGTCCGTGGGGTTCTGCGTGCGAGGGTACTGGAGTGGGTTGCCATCACAGAGATGTGCGTGCACGCTCAGTCGTGTCCGACTCTTTGCAACCCCCCAGACTGTGGCCCACCGGGCTGCTCTGTCCGTGGGGTTCTGCGTGCGAGGGTACTGGAGTGGGTTGCCATCACAGAGATGTGCGTGCACGCTCAGTCGTGTCCGACTCTTTGCGACCCCCCAGACTGTGGCCCACCGGGCTGCTCTGTCCGTGGGGCTCTGCGTGCGAGGGTACTGGGGTGGGTTGCCATCACAGAGATGTGCGTGCACGCTCAGTCGTGTCCGACTCTTTGCGACCCCCCAGACTGTGGCCCACCGGGCTGCTCTGTCCGTGGGGCTCTGCGTGCGAGGGTACTGGGGTGGGTTGCCATCACAGAGATGTGCGTGCACGCTCAGTCGTGTCCGACTCTTTGCGACCCCCCAGACTGTGGCCCACCAGGCTGCTCTGTCCGTGGGGCTCTGCGTGCGAGGGTACTGGAGTGGGTTGCCATCACAGAGATGTGCGTGCACGCT